ACACCGCGTCTGGGGCATGTCGTTGTGTTTAGCTGCACCAAGAATAACCTACTAGCAATTACATTTATTTAAGCGCCTATATCGCTACTTATATAGGCAATAAAATATTTCCTTCATTGATAGTGAAACGTGAAATGATATGAAGAAAAAACGATTAAACTAGAATGGTTGGAAATAAATATTAGTTATCACTGTTGCCGATCGATAGCGTGACGTTTTAATGAAAATTTATTACGTCTATTGTACGTACTACGTACTAATTACTAACACCGGAAAATTATCGCAAATAAAACAAGATATTGTTAAAAAAAATATATAATTTTTTTTTCACGGAATTCCAAAAAAACTCTTTCCTGTTATTCTTACTATTTATCGTATTGCGTTAAGCTGGTCTTGTAATTTGGAATTAGTCATAGAATAAATAAGTGCTAAAATCTTTCATATTTCCCGTGTAATTTGCGAGGAGCTCGTAAATAGACGTTACGTAACTGAAATATGTAATAGTAACACGAGCACGACACGTCTCCGGTCCGCCCACGACCAGCATTGGCCGCTAACAATATGCCCCAAGGTTAAAAACAGCGTGGGCCTGTAGCACACGCCAAAACTACTATACTATGTTATGTGCATAGATGCTGGTAGTAAATAATGATCTACTATCATCAGAAACAACTCTTTATTTTTTTCCTACCTATAGTCTTGAGAGGCTCAAACCGGAGTGATGCTAACACTGACCCTAGCAAGAATAGTGCTTCGCAGAATCTACCGCCGGATCGGAAACGCGACCCACTGAGAAGATCCGACGAGAAACTCAGTGGGCTGTGTCTATGGGTTACAAACGACTCTGCTCTGTAAATGCTAATACAGGTATGAACTTACACAGACCAGTGTGCGTAGTGCGAGTTTTTTAACGTTCTCGATAGCGTAAAAGTTACCTGAAATTTGTATGCAGCTGGAACAGTGTCCCCAGCGGTAAACATAGGCAAACGTTTAAATCCTATGCATTTTTTAATTTTTTTTTCGGGCCGGGGCCGAACCTCCTACGAGGTCCCCGCGCCTAGGGGGCGCGCGGGGTGTGTGAGACTCAACGACCTGCAGGTGTTGAGAGCAGACCGCGGGCCCAAGGAATTTTAGGGCCCACCCACTAAACGACTCCCCTGCACTCTTACACCCGACGTCCGATCTCCGTCCGGGATCAAAACCCGGTCAGAAAAGGGGGGTTCCTGCGGTCAACACTACAACCAGACACGCGGCGTCACCCCGAGGACGCCCGACCGACCTTAACTTTAACGCTATCGAGTACGCTAAAAAACTCGCACTAAGCACACAGAGCGTCATGATAACCGCATTCCGAATCTGTAACGAGTCATTGTCAGTCAACAGCAATGGAAACGTTTAAGAACGCTTCTGTTAGTTTAATGTGTCTGTCTACCTACGGAACAGAATCATTGTAAAATTGCACACGTATCAAGGAATAATTCTAATACAACAATTTTATTACGGGTAGGTACCACCACCCCACCTATTTCTGCCGTGAAGCAGTAATGCGTTTCGGTTTGAAGGGTGGGGCAGCCGTTGTAACTATACTGAGACCTTAGAACTTATATCTCAAGATGTGTGGCGCATTTACGTTGTAGATGTCTATGGGTTCCAGTAACCACTTAACACCAGGTGGGCTGTGAGCTCGTCCACATATCTAGGCAATAAAAAAAAAACCTTGGCCTTTTATTCAGATCCAACTTGACAGAAAATATTAATGAAATTTTTTAGTGGAGTTGCTTTTAAAGTGTATTTTTTGTTTTTGTTTTTTTATTCTACGTAATACACTTTTAAGATCATCGTAGGTTATTGAAAATAAATATAAATCATGATAAACTGATATTGGTGCTTCGGTACAACAAATTCAACATGGTAGTGGAGGTGGTAAGTACTGATGGTGGGACCTCTTGTGAGTCCGCGCGGTAGGTACTACCACCCTGCCTATTTTGGCCTGAAGCAGTAATGCGTTTCGGTTTGAAGGGCGAATCAGCCGTTGTAATTATACTGAGACCTTAGAACTTATATCTCAAGGTGGGTGGCGCATTTACGTTGTAGATGTCTATGGGCTCCGGTAACCACTTAACAACAGGTGGGCTGTGAGCTCGTCCACCTATCTATGCAATAAAAATAAAAAAAACGTTTTCTCTATAGATAAATCCGAAACAGTTACATGCATACGTGCAACTGCATCTATCTGAGCGGTCGAAGCGCGTTCATGCAGTCGTAAACGTATTTATGTCAATTTTACAATGGTGTTGCATAATTATTGCAATGGCACGCTGCTGCGCCTTGACATTGTACGACACACTGAACCGAGCACGTGTATCGTAAATCATAACAACTTGTGCACACAAACATAATGGTACACACGTTAAAGTACCTACGCAATAACATTTTGACGATTGTAAATCGAATAACGTCACAATTCATTCCGAGCTTGCATCAACGTGACATTGTATCTAAAGATCGTATTATTGTAATGTGCATTAGCTTTAAATAACATTTTTTTATTCGAGCCATAACCGATTTGACTATTACGGTATCAAATTAATTCGATTTTTGAGAACTTGATTGTCAATTACATTTAAATGAGTTTTGCGGTTGACAACAAATATTATTACAATTTTTTTTTATATTTAATAACCTGTACACAACAATATTGTTATCTATATATAACACGGACTGCATCATTATCCTATGTAGAAGTAAAGAATAGAATGAAATAAAGCAGTTGTATGAAAATTATTATGACCGCCGAATGAAGGTGGCAATAATAATAAAACATATTTTACCAAAAATATCAACAACGGATCAATATAATTTACATGTTTGTTCTCAATCAAGAAATATATGTATGTACCATTTTGTTAATAAGATCATGTCATGCCAACTTTGTGTTTATGATAACAGATTAATAAAGAAAACAAAATGTAACGACGCAAAAGATTTATAATTATAATTATTGACACAAGCACCAATCGATGTTCGAAACAAGATGCTTAATCAGATAGGAACATGCGGGGTGATGAAGAAACATTAATTGTCAGTAACAACTGGAGTGCAATTGTTGTACAAACAAGTTACATCTAGCTGTGACTGATTTCTTATCGAACAAATGACTTTGTGATATCAATTCTTAATGATATTTTTTAAGTGTGTAAATGAGAAATATTTATAGAAATAGGCAGATTAAGCAATACAGTATTTTCCGCTTCTGTTTCCTCTTTTGTTTGTCAATTAATTTTCTTTTTATTCCTTAATAAGCTTTAGCTTTACTTGTCATAGATTCCATCTCATAGATAGATCGAATCTATTCTAAAGAATCTTTCAATGAATTATAATTTTGGCCTTAAATGTCAAGGACTTAAAAAAACAAAATATAAGGCTTTTGTGGTTTTTAAATTATACTTACTTACTTAACTTTTTCCAAAATCTATTATGATTTCTATAATGTCAGTAGTAAAACAAGAGAAAACGTTAAAATAAATTGAATTAATTGGATTTGTAAAGTGAATTTTGAAATATAAAGAAACTACATTTTGCTGAAATACAGTTTAAAAAGTACCAACACTGTAATATGAATTTTGTAGAGGTGAACTGAAATAATATTCACGTGAGCAGTGAAACTGTATTATCGAGTATTTGTGTGTGCAACGTTTCTATGTTGTCTTATCTTCAGAGGATGTTGTTAGACAAAGGAATTAACTTTTGCTATATCACAAAGAACAAATGTCAGAATAACCGTCATCACCTTGAAGTGCATGTCCGTGCGTTGAATCATCTTAACTCAATCAAATGCGCCATTAAATGATCACTGTTTAATTACGAATTCTCAAAATTATTCGTGAATTCTGATCTGACATACATAGCAATGATGTGCTCATTAAAACTGAGAATAATACAAGATCATCGTTGTATTGTACTTTCAATTACACCTCATGAGTGGTATTAATATTGAAATTTCCAGTGAACTAATTGAGTTCGGTAAATATTGCTTGAACTGACTCTTTGAAAGCAAACATAAAGTATGTCACGGTCTAATTGAAGCTCACACTGGCAGCGGGCGCGTTCCACATCACGAATTCGAGTAATTTTGACATAAAGCCGTTAGCTTTCCTTGGTTTCATAGCGAGTCATCGTATTTCGTAAAATTTAAATAATACGTATTGTTGGAACGTTAAGAATGGCGTATTATAATCTCACATGGGTAGGTACCAACACCCTGCTATGCAGTTATAACATTTGCTCTGCCTATTTAATATCAGGTGGGCCGTCAGTCGGTTCATCCATGCAATAAACTAAAAGAACATAAGTAAATGAGTCTGCGGAGGGACTTCAGATTTCTAAGTAATTTCCACCATATATTACATGAGAAGTGCTCTGAAGAATTATTTAATATGGTGGCGTTATTATCCTCACCATCCACTATTGCAGTAAAGTTTACCTATACAAATTAGAATCATTGATCGCATCCCCAATCCCAGGACTCTATTTTGCGATGCCGTTTTAGATTAAACTAGCGACCCGCCCTCGCTTCGCTTCGGAAACTGTAATTTATTATTGATTTTTCCACTATTTAATGGATGTTATTATACATATAAACCTTCCTCTTCAATCACTCTATCAATTAAAAAAAACCGCATCAAAATCCGTTACGTAGTTTTAAAGATTTAAGCATGCATAGGGATATAGGGACATAGAAAGCGACTGTTTTCTACTATGTAGTGAAGTGATGTAGAGTGGCCACGGTGTTTCTTAAGCGCTGTGAAATATCCTTCAAACGAGGTTTGAAATGTTCCTCAATTATAGGTAGCAGCTTGGCTTTGTTCCTGACCTTATTGATATTCAAGAGCGATGAAGACGTTTCAACTTACCTTTTGAAGGCAAAATAAAAATGTGACCTGTATGGATCAATTTTAACAAGATTTTGACAAGTCGTGTATTAATACATATAAACTTACCCTTTTCTTGCGTGGATGTAAGTCCTCATAGTCCATGGCGATGCCTTCATCACTGAATGACGATGAGGCTGGTGGTGGTGAAGGCGTTCCTGAACGCCATGATGATCCAGAGCTGCTACTGGCTCCCGGCGAGACTGATGAACGACCTCCCCATGCACCTAAAATTTATTTGTGAGTTGAAGTATTTCTCACATTTTTTAATGCATAGATATGTGAGGGGTCCACCTGATTCAATGGTTAGCGGAGATATCACAACGTGAGAGCCAACGCCCACTTTGACATAGAAGGACCATGTCTCAATCGATTAAAGTTGCCAATAATCTGCGTATTTTTTTGCTTTTTTAGTGTAATCGGTTGTCTTTATTTTTATTTGTATTGTATACATTCGCTCGTGATTTTATTAATTAACTCAATAGAATAATATAAATAACAGCTTTAATAAGTCTATTAATAACTATAATTTCTCGAAGAAATTACTGAAATCTTTCCTTATGAGACAAAAGCACAAGAACAATTAAACTTGAAACCATTAAAACATTCAAACATAAACGCGTTTCTGTAAATCATTACTTGATTTTTTTGTGTCAATTGTGAGTTTAGAAGTACACGCTCCATCCATTAATTCATTTAATGTGAAAATTTAAGTTATCTCATCATATAGCAATCGGATATTTTCGGTAATGATAATAACAAAGATTGGCATAGAAAACGTTTAAATAAAATCTAAAATGCCAATTCATTTTTAATTGTTCTATAAATTAAACATTACATTGCAACATGGCATGGTGGCAGCATGAATGATTCGATGTAATAAATTTGCTAAACGGAACTATATAGCCGTCCACTTTCACTAACAGAACGGCTATTTTCTCGCTGTGAACACGCGCCTGTGCATTTTAACCGCCGCTGTTCTCAAGACGTATCGCAGAGTTTACGAGTGCTGAGAAACTACTGCTGCACATTACGATTACACAATCGACTGTGACTGGCACTCCAGATGCATTTTAATTATACGTTTTAAAGCTAAGATCTACTATCTGTTTCGTAATCAATATGGGACGTATTTTAGGGGTACAGATGTAGAAGGACCGGGGTAAATTGCAATTTATTATCAAACATACTACCTAAATTGATTTAGCACGATTAGCGTAAAAGTTTGGTTAGTGAAAGCGGTGTGCTCGACGAAAAATTACGTTCACACAAAACTTTGTTGTAAATAAGGTTTTGTTTGGAATAAGGTACTGACTGGAGCAAGCATATTTAGTCGGGCGGAGCTTATGACGAGAGCTATGTTATACCAAATACCTGTCTAGACATTGTCTAGACTTTGGTCTAGACGCTATCCACATTTTAAATATCTTGACACAATAATGTAAAGTAAAATAGGAATGTGCACAAAAATTAATTAATCAATTCTGTCATGTGAAATGATGTACCTTTATTGGATTATTGTTTTTTTGATTAGTCGTCATTGAAACTACTTAACAATTTTCGTGGTCACGTCGGCGACTGATCAGCAGTCATTGTGCGTAAAGAAGCAGTTGTAACTAGCAGTATATCGACAGCAGGAGCCTCGCAGTACATACCTGTCTTAGTCTAAAGGCACGTCCTTACGGATCCATCAGATCCAATAACCTTTGCATTAGACGCCTTCAGCTCTAACACTAGGAGCAGGCTTAGGGACCCCGGTAACCGTACTCGTCGAACTCGACAAAGAGTTCGCCGTGCAACCTAACCCATGAATCAGCTCGCTGAGTATCTCGCCGGATCTTCTCAGCGGGTCGCGATTCCGATCCGGTAGTAGATTCATTCGCGAAGCAGCTGCTCTTGAGCTGTTAGGTCTCCTTCGGAGGCGCTCGGGTAGCTGTTAGCAAATCCCACCCCTCCTGGCTGAGCCTTTGCTCGCCCACCTGTCCTGGTGAAACTGGAAAGGCCTCCGGGCCACCAGTAATTTTTCAATTATAAAAAAAAAAAAAGTCTAAAGGCCGTTACCAAAAATTAATAGTTCCTTACTTGGCCGAGGTGAGTTTGGTGAGCAACTGAGAGACATCAGTACCAGAGCGGCATTGCATTCATTCATCTGGTCATCACGATCGCCGTACCCCAGATCGCAAGTACTACTCGGGCCGCGCTTCCGAGATCTGAAACAATACCAAAGACAATTTCATGAAATTGTTAAAAATTCACTAACACGTATTTGTGTTTTTTTTTTCTAGAATTAATTTACGCTCGAAAATAGATGAAAATGTCACGAAGCATTTGTGTCATATTAATAAAAGTTAAATTGGTCAACGCGATCGGGACCAACGTATTGTTTAGTGTTCCAAATCCCCGCTAAAATTAGGTTAAGTGTCCAAAGAAATCGCTAATAATTTAAAGTAATGTATGTGATATTTTTGCCGGAGCTAATGGAGAAATGTATTATATCACATTCAACAAGTCTAGACTAAATTTTGACCTTGTACCCTGTCAGTCGTCGGATAGATTTTCAGGAGGGACGGCGCGTGGAGACTGGGGTGAGGTAGGCAGCGGTTACGTAACCGGCGGCAATTTCCAAATACACACTAGACTTTTGAACTTATCGTCTGAGGACTAAGGCTTATGCTCCGACCGATAACCCTGCTCCACCTTTACAAGGAGGTTCATTCAACTCATGTATTTGTTGCGTTGTGAATCAACGCTCGCTCCGAGGAACTCGTCTAGCCGATTATTTTTTCACTTTAGTCAACATTCAAACGACCACATCCAAAATTAAATTCTACAACACGTTATGAATTAATGTATTTATATCATCTCATTTTAAGCCACGGAATGCTGAATAGGTATTTTCCCAATTTGGCCTTTTTTACATTTCAATGAATGGGATTTACGATAGTTGTTGCTTAAGTTAGATTATTATTAGTATTCGCAACTTCAGTAACGTCATTATTTAAGCACATTCAATCTATTAAAAAAATTAACTGCGCATTGTGTAAACGACGAAAGAGAATTGAAAACAACTGCTTTCAAATTGAGACTCGATATGCTATTATGATGAGGTTGTTGGTTGTTGATTTGCAAAATTATTATTGTATTTATTTTGCAAGCGGGAATAACTGTTATATTGCAAACATGTTTCTGTTTGTTGATAGCAATGGAAATTGAAATAAAAATATGTACAATGGTTTAGTGCATGCGATGTTCTTACTGTAAAATAATTAATGAGTCAATAGGTGGTAAGATCGGGTACATATGCACGTAAAAGTTTCGTCCTTGAGGCGACGTGGGCTGGTTATTCGCCGGGCGATGGGTAGGTCGCTGGCTGTGCGTTGACTCCTGCAGGATCGCCGACCGGCTTGCGAAACCTAAGCGTGTCGGGCGTTCCCCTTTCACCCTCGTTATTCGGTTTTCAGGCACGTTCGTTTTTATGTATGCACGAGAATAAATTAATTTATTAACTAATTTTTACATTGCGCATAATTAAAAATATTGTCGGAAAAAAATTGTTTACGTTTTAACCAGAATACGATTCGAATGTAACGTGTTTTGGCGTGTTTTCAAGAAATTGAAGTATTCTTTTTTTTTTTTTGCGAGTTCTGTTCGCAACGGAATAGCTTTGTAAATATAAATATGCGTCTCGGGTGACCTACGAATGCACCCTAGATACAAAGTGTGTTCACCTCGCCTAGCCGGTACGTTCTTCAACTAGGTTCATCATTCGATTCACAACGGTTGATGAATGATAAGCTACAAACAAATTAAATAAAAAAAAATCCTTAACATCTTTAGCTCCTCATACGTAATCGCAAACACACACGTTACCATTAAAGTTCTAGAGACGAAAATAAATTGCTAATAAAAATCTATTTTGAATGTATATTTCGACTAGTGGATGAAATCATATCAGTACAAGGTGAGAAAAAGATATTTTTGCACAATAAAGTACCTACCGACTTGTGCCGTCGTTACGTAGTATAGAACGACTGGGTGAAGTGTCGGACGACGGGGTCGTTATCGGATCGAGAAGTTGATGACCGTAAAGGTGACTTATAGTTAGCCGTTTCATGGGGGATATTTAATGTAATTTTTCATTGTATGAAAAACTGGCATTGCCTTTTTATTTGTTTAACACACAGTGATTTTAGTTCTTCTAATGTGTGAAATTGACAGAATTAATTCGGTGGGATGGTAATCGATAAGCGTGCGTGTCGTCATCTCGATGGCGGCGTAACGTATGATGCGACACGTTGACGTAACGTTTGCAGCACGTACAATTGCCGTTGGCTCTTATCGAATTCGTTTATTTTTCAGAATAACGCTATCTGTTTTTTCGTCGGTGTCATCATGTAAACGGCACGTGCGGGTGACGTCAAGCCTTCCGCACGCCATTTATCCGACAATAATATTATTCACAGCATTTGATTGTTTTGACAAACGTATGTTTTTTAATGTTAGATTTCGCATTGACCGGCCGGCGACGCGGCAGCTGTGTATACTCGTTCAATGTTCATTCGCGTACTACACACGTAACATTGAGGACGACCTTGCCGCCTGTTGCTTACTGCCGCACACACCTAGATATGATAGCGAAATATTTTTAAAGATAACATTTATTCGATTGGACAAACATACATTTAATTCACTCACAGTCTTAATAGTTGTTATTTACGAATTTTATGAATTAATTAAAAACACTGGTGATTATTTAAAAAAAATAAAATAAAAAAGGTTTTATTATATGCTAATAAAAAGGTTCGTGTAGTTAAAATTAACGTGGGTGGACAGAGGAATTTACGGGGTGCCTAATGTTAAGTTGGCCCAGCCCATATCACAAAGTAAGTGCAAACTATCCAACATAAGTGCCTATGCTATTCTTATTACTTTGTCGTTGGATGATTGGTGCAAGGATGATGCTATCAATCAATGCGGGCTTTCATCGCGTCACACCAACATTATTTAAGCCAGGAAGAATAAGGGAATTGGAGGGAGTTTGGGAAAGCTAAGGTAAGGAAACTACTACGAGGTACGATGAAGATCTTGTAGTAGCAGCTCGAATATGCTTCGAACATGTTCCCGTTCCGATTGTTGTGAATTAACTCAGTGAATTTGACACAGAATTTTCACAGTGGGTCGCGATTCCGGTTCGGTGGTAGATTCAGCGGAACACTACCCTTGCTAGGGAAGATTTTAGCAAATTAATTGAGGCGAGCCACATGAGTGCGTCCTTCAAGATTCAATCAGAAAACCTCCTAGAGATTACGGGCAGGTAATATCTATTAAAGTTGCAAAAACCAAAAACAAAAAATAAACTAAAGACCTTCGACTTCGACTGTTGGAATGAATTAGGTTCAATAGGTATTTTTCGTTGTACAGTGACTAAGCTTGCGAACTCGACGTAGTTAATATAGATTTTTTGCTGTGTTGATGTAGGTCGGAGCCAGCTTTATTTGGCATTTAAAAAGTTTATTCGTTAGACGAGAATGACGATCGCACTCCTTCCGAACGACGGTTTTGGAGTTCATTGTCGATTAAGTTACATCACTGGTGGTAGGACCTCTTGTGAGTTCGCACGGGTAGGTACCACCATCTTGCCTATTCCTACCGTGAAGCAGTGATGCGTTTATGTTTGTAAGGTGGAGCAGCCGTTGTAACTATACTGAAACCTTAGAACTCATATGTCAATGTGGGTGGTGGCATTTACGTTGTAGATGTCTATGGGCTCCGGTAGTCACTTAATGCCAGGTAGGCTGTGAGCTCGTCCATCCGCTATGCAATTAAAAAAGAACTTCATTATAATTATAATGTATTTTAGATTTTGACAATTGGGATAATGTTTTCTTAACCTTTTATTAGGATAATTATTATTAGGATAAGTTGGAGCGTATGCTCGCATATGCTAGCCGAATGTTCATATGTGCCGTATGTGCGGGCTTAAGTCACTGTCAGATGGGTCGTAAGCAAGTCAGCTTACAAAGGCAATAAAAGGGGTCTTCATTGTGGTTTGCACGTAGCTTAAGATATCGAAAATTGATATAACACTATACCATACTTGCCAGTCTCCAAATATAAAAATTAATTGTCGCTCAATGAACTAGTCATTCGAGGGTTAAGGTGACCTACAGTACAACGGCTTAAAATATTAGTACGTATTTGTCACTGTGACGGATTTTAAGTAAATCATAATTGCCTTGCTATTCGCTGGTGCCACGACTCATTATTGTCCGAATTTCAGACAATCATTATTTACGTTCGTTGAACAGTTTTTGTTCCCGCCGAGTGGAATAACCGGCAGGTAGGACAAAGCAAAGTCACCGATACCGAGGTGAACAGTTCGGATTCTCGATCTTGTTCCTGGTATATGTTTATTGTTGTTTGATCATTACCCGCTCACGTGGCAAATGACGTTTTCGTTATTCCCGCAAAACATGAATCATCTTTTTATTTTACTACTAGCTGACCCGGCAGACTTCGTAGTACCTCAATCGACAAATAAAAGACCTAAGTTTTGTATAAAATAAACTTAAAACAAACAAAAGGAATCCGTCCGACGAGGGACAACATCAGAGGAAAAACAAAATTGTTTTATTTATTTAATTCCGAGCATTTTCATATTTATCTACCTTTTAAACCTTCTCTGGACTTTAAGATCAAAATTAGCCAAATCGGTCCAGCCATTCTCGAGTTTTAGCGAGACTAACGAACGGCAATTCATTTTTATATATATAGATAGATTCATTTCGATCTCATGTACAAAATAGTGAAAGACAATGAAGCACCGAAACTATTAATTATGTATCAAGTAGATTGCATAACGTTGAATATATTATTGTAATACTTTCTCAAGGTAGAGGCGGCGTAGCGGCACCTGCCGAATGAGATAACGGGTCTTTGGAGCGCTATAGAACGCCAACGAAAGCAAACGTGTAACCAGCGAGAAAGTGCTGTGACGGCCGCCGCCCCACCGCGGCTGGTGCGCCTTCTCTTTGCATGTTGTGCAAACGCATGCGGAATGTAACATAATGTCGAATTGTCGAATAGCTTTTGTTTTATACGTACACGTAGCGACTTCGCAATGAGGCGCGTTCATGCGATCTAAGGGTAATTAATGACGAGATACACGACGTGTGTCACTAATAGAAACGAGGACCCTTCCTGCCACTCAAACGCCTGATTATCATAAAACAGCCCGATGGTGACAATGGTGTTACCGTTTTTGGTATCGAAAGCGTATTTAATTCGTACGTCAATTCTTTAGGTCGTGCGCTGGTTTTGGCTTAGGACATGCTTTGAATATTTAAATCTAACCTGTCTAAAGTATGCTGATGTTGTGATAGCGTACAGATACAAACTGCATAATTTTAAGTTTGTCATAGATTTCAAGTATACCTCTGGGGTACCAGTAAAAAAAAAGTATTCCATTTAAAAGTAAATCATATCATGAAGAAGAAGAACTAAATAAGGTTTTTTTATTAAAATTAACTTCACGTTTGTTTTGCATGTCACATTATAATCGCATAGTCTAGACGAAATTAGGGAATTAGAGCAAAAATACCTTTGCAATATTTTAGAATACAAAATTAAATACGTAAGTAGCAAAGGGCTCCAATGTTTAGTACAGTCTGTGCTACACGTGGAGACAAAATAATATATTTATGCTTCATTTATTTTATTGATTAATTAACCTACTAGTAATAGACTAGTAACCTACATACTTATTATCTTATTTAATAAAGCGACAAACGTATTGCTCTATAATTTCAAAAATGTATAATATTTAAAATACCCATGCTAGGATTAATTTACATATTTATTTCTTACGTGAAAGAATTTATTAAATAGTCCTTATTTGAAAAAAGAAATTGTAGTAAATCACGAGTTTAGTATTATTAAAATAAATAGCGATCATTACAGTTACAATATCTGCAGATATCGCTGTTTGCGGTATTTTTCTAGTGTGCTGTGTGTGTGCCGTTCCATTTCGAAACTAGGTCACTGTGTCACATGGCCGCCGCGCCAAGTACTAACAGAATGCGTCGCCATCTTTGAATTTTGTTAATTCATGTTCTTGATACGCCTACTAAGACATTATGTAAAACATATTGTCCTTTTTAAAATTGTCCTGTTTTCGACGGGATTGTATTTTCAAGCCTATTTCGGTATCAAAACTTTGAATTCGAGAATCATTCACAAAATGTCAGCGGTCAATAAAAGAAAATGAATGTTGCAAACTTTCACTCAGCCGTAGCTCGACCCCTTTATTGTACGAAAATTTGAATTAACTATAATCATAATAATAGTTATTCGAAATAATTTCCATTAATAGCTTCATAGGTAGGTATTACCATCAGTTTCGTTTGCATAAGTGTATCCTCGAGCTGTAATATTGCACTCAACCTATCTCATAACTTTGCAAGGCGTTGTTCAAACAGGTTTTATGCAATCACTATCTACCTCAGAATAATTCTACATTAAATATCAACCACTGGCTTTTACGTTAGACGAAGTGTCAGGTATATATGTGTATATATTTTTTTCTTTTAGTTTAGTATTTTAATTATCTCATTCAGTTTTTAATTTAGTTTTTTTTATCTATTAATTTAGACATGAATTTAAATCACATTATTCAAATATATTTTTTGCAGCTATTATTACATCACAATTTCGAATTGATTCGAAAATAAAAAGTGTTTATGTACAAGCGTTGATTACAATCGGAAATCCTGCTGTAGTATAGCTAACCGAGAGTAGATAAGTACTTCGAATGTTTCGTTGCTTATTGTGAAATTTGGGGCACGAGTGGAGGCCTCGCCTCTCACTACGATCACGATGAAAAGTGAAACTTCGGTGCCGACGAGCGTCACGTCGCCGGCGCAACTGTTTGATGCCGTTAGTTCCGGTTACGCTGCATCATATTATGTCTAACCTCTAACGTTTCCTATGTTCAGAAAATTTACTATTCGTGTCCGGAATATCGAATACTAGTTTTTGTGGATCTAAAAGGGAATATTTAGTTCGTATTATAATTTAAATTTGCATGTCTACTCATGTTGAAGTCTCTTAATTTTTTTTAGGGCAGATGAGCTCACCCATCTGGTTTTAAGTAGTTACTGGAGCCCATAGACATCTACAACGTAAATGCGTCACCCACTTTGAGATATAAGTTCTAAGGTCTCAAGTATAGTTACAACGGCTGCCCAACCGAAACGCATTACTACCTCACGGCAGAAATAGGCAGGGTGGTGGTCCCTACCCGCGCGGACTCACAAGAGATCCTACCACCAGTAATTACGCAAATTATAATTTTGCGGTTTGATTTTTATTACACGACAATGTTATTCCTTCACCGTGGAAGTCAATCGTGGTGAACATTTATTAAATCGATCTACTTCACAAAGTAAATAATTTAAAATGCATCAATGGATTTTTGCCAGTTTTTTTTTTGTTCAGGGCTAGTTCACGATTCGCTCAGAGTTGCATTGTCTGTCCCTGTTAGTGTCGCGGTGAGGGGGTTCGGTGCGCGGGCGGCAACTCCGTCGCAGAATGTAGGCAAGTGTGACAAGGACACGCCCGTACTCCGCGCTAACACCTCCATCTAGTTCCTAACGTGCTTGGTGCGAGTTTCGCAATGTTCGCCTGCGCCTAGCCGGCTAACCCCACTACGATGATGCATACCCGTGTGCATGCGTACAAGGCGATATTACATTGTATTTGCCACGTTAACGATTTCGTATAGTTGAGAAATGATATTCCTTCAATTGAAAATAGCAGTAAAACAGTATAATTTCTAACTGCTTTTGAATATTCTAGATAAAACTTCCTGGTCTGGAATTAAATCGCATTATCATGATAGAGAGATTTTGCAAGCGGTCGAGTATTAGAAATGTGATGGCCTTCCTAGAAGCTCGTACCGAGGTGAACCACTACTTCAAGGCGAAGCAACGATAATGTTTGTTAATTAGAATTCTGTCTTAGGCCATGATTATGATCGATAGCATCGCATCATTGTCAAGTTGCCTCTTGCCTTACAAGCCTCATAATGTGATTGCTGGTGTAGAAAATGTCTTGACATTTGACACACACACAGACTTATCAAATATAAGAATTGACATTTTATTATATTTTTGTGAACATATCTTTGCATGTGTTGGGAGTAGTTGGGACAAGCCTCTTATTATGATTGCTGGTGTACAAAATGTCTTGACATTCGACACACACACAGACTTATCAAATATAAGAATTGACATTTTTTTATATTTTTGTGAACATACCCTTGCATGTGATGGGCTGGTACTTCGATAGTGGCGGATACACGACGCCTGTCACCCGCCATATCTGCGAGTCTAGCAAAGTCAGTGTCCACGTCCGCCAATCTTGCAGATTTGCGAGACTCCAACAGCCTCACTTCATCTAGTTTTTTCTTCAATTCTATTGGCACCTGTAACAACGATATTTCAATGTTTAACTGTTTATAGGATCCTATAGGGCGTATACATACAGTGTGTTATCATTTTAGCTAAACGTATGGAATCATATGCCATTTTACATATAATGAAGTTTTTATAAGATCATTTATTTACTCACACATAGCAAGGTTAGGCCGGAAGACAAACGCCTCGCGGAACCTTGGCTGTGAGTGTGCTTATTGTCTCTCATATTTGGCGCGGTCTTGAATTTAATGCATTTTTACATAAAATTGCGTATTCGTTGTAACATTAACTGAACGTTGGGTGTATCACGAGATCGATATAAGTGACCTTGGCACGATTCGAGTCCGGAGTATGGACGTGACGTCATCACCGGGTAGAAATAGAACGAGGTGCATATTATTACACAATTTTCTACAATGCATTCGGGGCAAAGTTAACTCATATATGCAAAAACAAAAACCAACAATGAAGTAGGAAACAGTTTTGTTTGTTTAAAATGCTAATTTCTAATGTTGCTAACGGGCGGTCGCGGTAAGAACAGGATACATACGAGTGTACCGGTAAATGTTGCTGCGGAGGCAAACAGGTTTTTATCCAGTACATACGTATGATATTACCATGTTGCTCACATTTATTACAGTGCTGTTACTTACAGTATAATTTTCAAACAATACTGCTTTTCCGCGTATATCGCAGTTCCCATTTATCGAATATTTCTTTAGACAGCTTTAGCATTGAGCTAATTGCTAATTAGGCTAGTTCTTTTTGGTATATATTATTGAATTTATATTTTGAAGAGGATTTTTCATGTTCTGTCGTTTGTTAAATTAGTTTATCTGTCGTATGTAAGTTTAACAAGGAAAAGGTTTTGAAGAGGTTTGGAAAATTGTTTTTCACAAGCATGATGAATTGAATCTACTCTGTCTCCATTACTCTGGTCAGATCAAAATAAGCTGACCTTCTTTAAAAGTGGCCTCACAATACGGATCTTTAATAATCAATTATTGTACAATATACACTGCGATTCTTGCGGAGTTTCTCCTTCAAGTCCCATTTTGGGCGTCTTCTTGATTATAGTTAAATTAAACTTGCTTCATTATTGTAGTTAATGTCATTCGCGAAACTGGTGAACTTGTAACACAAACCTTCGGAAGCAGTGAGTAGCATATGACGCATGAATTCCAGTTATCACGCACTGGCATTGCTGCTCAAATCGCGGTCGCAGTGTCGAGCTCTCGGTTGTTATGTGCGGCTCAACTACTCGACAACTCGTCTGGTTGACATTGGTTACGTTTTTGTCGTCAGCTTCCTTCTCGGCTCGCCGTGATTGACACGTTACACATGAGCGTGCCGCGCGACTTTGCTTTCTCTGTACCGATAACCTTGTATTGTTTAACACCGGCTGAGGTGAGGAATGTTTACTAATATTTACACGCAGACCACCTTCGTCTGAACAGATGAATGATTTGCCAATTTGCAGTGCCTAAATCGTGTAATATTTTGTTTTCATAACTTGACATTGAATTTACAGATTCTGTATACATTCTGGTATTTATGTTGGTTTTTAAAGTAAGGTTCTAGGTCGTGATACTGTAGATATGTCTATACAATTAAGACTACGACCTCATGTCTCAAAGTGAGTTGTCGCATTCGTGTTTTGTCACCTTTGGGTTCCGGTAATCACATAATACTAGGGTCGCTAATCCGTTAATTGATTTTAAGTAGTTTAAAAAAGCTCACAAAAAATTACAGTAGCTTCTTAAGATGTTTTGGTCTAATTCTGTCATATGGCTATGGCTGGTAAAACAATTAATTACAAATACAAAATGTACAATTACTGCGGAGTCTATTGCAGCAATCAACGTTACCCAGCCAGCCGTCGGCGATCGCATCATACTTTCACTTTTACATGATTTCGTGCGAATGTAGAGTTGCCTGCTATCAGGTAAGATACGTAGATTAACATTGCGGCCCCTCACTCACACCACCGGAACTAGGAAAGTTGTTATGAGCATCTGGCTCGCGGCTCGCATTTTTGACATACATTCACTTTTCTTAACTTTTCATTTATGAAACTTCGTGTTAATTTTTTCTTTACTGAATCTTTATTGCGGTTATCAATATGTCCAGTATTTTTTTAATTTTTGATAATAATGCTTTTATAATATGATAGTATACTGTGTGTTTAGTGTTTACGAGCTTGTACTGCATGTTTTAGGCAACCAAAAAGTGAGTCTGTTTCCGGTATCTTTCGGCCATTGGATATGACTTCAGAATGGCATCGCGATGGTTCTGTGCTATGGGCCACGTCCTTACATGCATAGTACACGCTGAATAAACATAAATCGCATCCGCAAAGACGCACACAATTTTGTTTTATTAATAATATTAACGAATAGATACTTTACGAGGACGGAATTCAATTTGGTCTCATCTGGTCTAAAGTTTCGTTGGTCGATTCTATCGTTTCGTGGCTCGTATTCGCGAACACGTTATGTAAAAAGTGACAACTATTGCACAATTGCTTTATTCGATGGTGAAACGGTCGCTCTGAAATGCGAGTGAAAGTCACCGAGTGACTTTGGCATAGCATGATAAGGCGTGCTGCGTAACTATTCGATATGCATACTTCTAAGGTGCGATTCGTTCTTGACCAGTTGGTGACGTTGTAAAGTAATTCGTCTAATGGCTGTTTGAACTTGAAACTATGTAACGGAAAACAAGAAATAATAAGATAATGTTTTGTCATTGTCATTGCCGATGATTGCATTGTGTCCGGTGATTAGGTTTATACAGTGCCGTGAAACTGAATACAATGTCAATGTTTAACGATACTTTTGCGTTTACAGCGTGAGATCTCGTTTTATCATCAACAAATTATTATCAATTACATATAATAGCATGTTTGTTTCATTCGCGTGCTTTTGGTGCCTAAATTGCACAACCATTGCGCGCTCTACTGAGCGTCAATGTTGTTACTGCGCAAAACGGATTATCCATGCTTGTAGCTCTCCGGCTTGCGGTGTTGAAACATATCTGCTAAATAAATTCAATGCCGTTTCTAACATTTTTTGACTAGCCCTTGCTTAGATGATATGCAAAACAAATAATTGAAAGAAGAATTTTGTGTGAATAAAAATTTTCGTTGTGACATTGGATATTCAATTAACTAAATGCGTATATTATAATATTGTGTGAGCGTCTTGTCAGGATTTGGTCGGGTCATTTAGATATTAGTTTCAAACACTTAGATAAATCCCCGCTTCTAGCATCTAGCTATAATAGATTAGATATACATATTTTTCGAAAATTGTTATTTTGTAGCAATTGATTAGAAGACATGCTGTTGCGTCTGAGATATTCAATAGAATAATATAGATATGCCTTATTGAATACATTTAGAATGGTTCGATTCTAATCTAAACTATCAACGAAACAATAAACTTCTTACACACAAAGGTAGTTTGGGTCGTGACAAATGAACGTCGATTATACCTTTTATTAAATATACAGTGAGGCTGCATTGGAATCACGTAGATACGCATGCATAAGCAATTCGGCTGTCGGTGAGCGGTCGTACACAAATAAATAGGTCAATAGCTCTTACTATTTGAGTTGATACTAGGGCCAACAATAACTACATATTCCTATATTGGATAGCATTGTAAATAATCATTCGTTATTAAATTCAGGTGCAATAAACATGTGGAAATTCAGTTGCAATAAACATGCCTAATAGTTATATAAAGTTTGTGGTTCGATTCATTAAATATATCGACCACAGTCCAGTCGAGAGCTTAGCTCGAAATAATGAACAAATAACATTTTTCTAATTCAATAAGTACTTGCTATGTTTCTTGAATAAAATGCAGTAAGCAAAATTAAATTGCATAAAATTTCAAGTCACATCGAATAGATTTACTTATATCGATAGTTATTTTTTTATTGCTTAGATGGGTGGACGAGCTCACAGCCCACCTGGTGTTAAGTGGTCACTGGAGCCCATAGACATCTGCAACGGAAATGCGCTACTCACCTTGAGATATAAGTTCTAAGGTCTCAGTATAGTTACAGCGGCTGCCCCACCCTTCAAACCGAAACGCATTACTGCTTCACGCCCGAAATAGACAGGGTGGTGGTACCTACCCGTGTGGACTGGCAAGAGCTCCTACGATCAGTAACTTGTTATGTTTCTTGAATAAATTGCAATAAGCAAAATTAAATTGCATAAAATTTCAAGTCACGTCGTATAGATTTATACCGATAGTCAGTTTAATAAAGAAACACGAATTTAATCGGATGTATATGGTTAGGTTGATCAATGAGTCGGCACGACGGCCTTGTGTGATTAGTGAATACAAACCGAGGTGGTTGCAGAGCGGATGCCGACCGAAGCGGGCCACGCGAGCGCCGCGCCCGCCCCGACCCGACCCGCTGCAACAGCCAACCTTGCTCCAAAAATCCATGACCCACTTTTCAAACGCCAAATTACTCTCAATGTTACACTCGTTTTCTTTGCTAATAAAGCTTTGTTTATTTTACTGTCACTATCTACATACTATACCAGTCAACTACACTAATATTCTTAGCTGCAATTCTAACTTATTTTTTTAGTTTTTCCTAAGCTGATAGCTTTGAGAGGCTATTTCAGCGTAACCTTAACTAGTAGGTGAGCTCACGGGGCTCAAACCTGACGATGTTGCTAACACGAACCCTAGCAAGAGCCGTGCTTCGCAGAATCTACCACCGGATTGAAAACGCGACCCACTGAGAAGATCCGGTGAGAAACTCAATGGGCTGTGTCTGTGGGTTAATTTACTTGTCGAGCCCTTCGTCGCAAGTGACGAGCTCGACGAGAACGATGACCGGTGCTTGAGGTACCTAAAAGCACCGTTATTGGATCGGGAGGATCCGAAATGACGTGTAATTAATTCTAACGATAATACATATCTCAGGGACTTAAAACAAAGGCTCGGTTTGTTTTCTAAACTGATATATCAGTTCTTAG